TTTACTTATTTTTAATTTGACCAGAGAGGGACAGAGTGTGTGTGGGGGGGGAGTGACAAAGCAAGCCACCAGGTCCAGGACTCGAACCCGTGGTTGGCCTGTGGTCCAGCGCCCTTAACCTGCTGGCTCAAGTAGCTACATTTTTTTTTAAAAAAGATTGATTTCTTTAGGGGTCAGCAGATGGCATAGTGATTAGGTCACTGGATTCCCACATGATCAGGACTGTGGTTTGAATTCCCGATCTTGTGACTTGAAAATCAGGCTGGGCAGGTGTGTGTGCATGCCCAAGATCCCAGGAACAGAATGGAGGAGAAGGGACTGCAGTGTGTCCATCTCCCCTGGGGGGTGATTTCTTACTTTCCTTCTCACTGTGTCCGTCTCTTTCTCTGTCTTTGAGTGCATGAATCCTATGGCAAAAACCTCTTTAAAAAAAGAAAATAATTATTCACTTTCTTTTGTTTGTTATTATTATCAATTTTAATTTGTTATACTGCCTGTGTGCTCACCAGAGAGAGAGAGAGAGAAAGTGAGAAAGCAAGCCACCAGGTCTGGGACCCAAACTGCTGTCACCCATGGGAGTCCACCACCCTAACCACCACACCACCTGCTGGCTCCTACTAGCTACTTTTTTTATTTTTTATTTTTTTGGAGAGGCTTTTGCTATAGGGTGCATGTGCTCGCCAGAAAGACAGAGAGAGACAGAGAGATAGAAAGCGAGAAATCACCCCCCAGGGGGGATGGCCATGCCGCAATCTCTTCTCCTCCATTCTCCTCTCAGGATCTTGGGCACGCACGCATACATGCCCAGCTTGAGTTTAAGCCACCGGGTCCGGGACTCGAACCACAGTCAACTACATGGGAGTCCAGCGACATAGTCATTACACCAACTACTGGTCCCTCTACATTTTTTAAAAGTTAAAGGAAACAGGTGAAATGACATTTCAACATGTAATATAAAAATTACTGAAGCCAATTGTGGAGGTGCATAGATCGCACCACTGTCTGGAAGGCTGGAAGCCACATGGGAGCCTCAGGTTTTGTTTGTGGGCTTAACACGAACACACCCGGTATGGTCATACGCACCTGCGACCCTAGCTGACTAGGAAGCTGGGGCAGGAAGGTTGTAAGAAGCAAGGCCCTGTCTGTCTTTCTGCCCTTCCATCTACTCTCACCCTGGCCCCCCACACACATGCCCTTTCTCTTTCATAGAGAAACAAAAATTACAGATTATTTTATCTTCTTTTTTTTTCCATTCTATGTCCTGGAGATCTGGTGTATTTTATGTCATGCTACATCTCAGTTTGGATTAGCACATTTACATATTAAACAGTCACCCATGGTTGGTAAGTCACTGTCATATTGGACAACACAGTCCTAAAGGATGACTGTGACACCAAGTACAAATGTGAGTGGAGATTCATTTATATTTATTAGCCTGGTCATTTTTATGGTCCTCAATAAAACCGCAGAGATTGTGAGGGGTCTGCTCCTAACACTGTATTTCCCGGAAGCCCTGGGTTAGTGTAGCATTTAAAGAACATACTTGTGTTCGCTGTACATACTCTCCCAGCCTCTCTTGCAGCTAGGGGTAGCCGTATGATGTAGTTCTAGGTACTGAGATACAAAGGCAGGTCAGTCAAGTCACATGGGAAAGACTTTTTGCCTTTATAAGATGAAAGAGCCCTCAAAGGGAAAGATTTTGACCATAGCCATTCCTTTCTGTTTGGAACATTTCCCACGAGAACATACTTGTAGTTGTGGCAGCCAGCGTGTGTCTATGATCAAAGACTCTGCTACACTGAAGATAACAGAAAAGTGTCTTTCCTTATCAGAGATGTAGGTGACTGAAGAAGCCAGCAGTGTGACTGTGAGGACAGAGGGAAGCAGGGATGGAGTTCTCTAGGAGTAAGAAGAGTGCTTAGGAAATGGCCTTCATAGACACTGCTTGGAGAGTTACAATCAAAATCTGCCTGGGAACCAGCAGTTAGCGTAATGGCTATGTTGTTGGACTCCCACGTAGTCGACCGCGGTTCGTGTCCCGGACCTGGTGGCTTAAAACTCACGCCGGGCGCGTGTGCGTGCGTGCCCAAGATCCCGAGAGG